ACCCGTTAAACCGTCGATTTCCGGGTTGAGAGATTTCATCCATCCTAACATATGGTCAAAGGATCTATTCTCCATAACCAACAAAACCACTGTTTTTATTGGATATTCCTTCCCATTATTATCCGCCATTTTTGTACTATGTTTACAAATTTGAAGAAAATATTTTGGTAGCTTAGCAGTATAATATAAGCTGTATTAGCTTGAAGAAGAGAATAATGAAGGTGTTATGAGCTAAAGATGCTGCTAGGAATAAGTATATACGAAGATATATTTATAAGATAAAGTTTGGAATGTATATTACGGAGTATTATTTATTGGAGTATATATAAGCTTATTAAATGCCTTCATTTTTTATTTTTTTTGACGGGTCATCTTAGTTGTTAGGCTTACGTATAAGTAAGTTTTTTCCTCTTTTGTTACATCCTTTATTTCGTGTTAACTGTTAAGTTATATGGGTAATGGACATGAAGTATATTAAAATTAACGTTATTGCTATAAAATGACACATATGTACTTATTTAAATTTCCTATCAATTTAAATAAGATAAATCCTAAAAAATTACGAGTACTTAATAAAAAAAAAGGTGCTTTTATCATGTGTAAAATAATAGTCACCTACTGAAGTTGAAACATAATAATATGTCTGAAAAAAGTTGTTAAGTCACAAATAACTACTCGTACTATCTACTTGTGATTTAGTTTGCCATATATGGAGTAGTATACTAGTATATTTCTAAGATTGAAATTGAACAATAAGTCTTGTGTAAGGTCGGTGTACGTTAATTTTATTGTAAGACGGTTAGTTTGAGGGTAACTTTAACTATTTTTACGGTAACTTTAACTCTTTAAAGTAACTTTTAATTTGTCGTTGATTAAAATTTTATTTTAATGTGTAATTTCTTATAGATTCATGATTACATAGTATAAAGGCTAATATGATTAACCTAATACATTATAAGTTTTTTATAACATAAAATTTATTATTACAAAATTAATAACTTTTGTAGTATAAAAGATAATTTTAAATACTTTTAACATGAGGTTAAACTCGTTTAACAATAAATTAATATACACCCACCTTTTCAGAGAACTTGTATATTCTAATTCTTTAAATAAGTCTTTGAGCAAGCATATAAGAAGTATGTGTATACGAGTGTTAAATTAATGCGACTATTATTGTGGAAGAGATGAGATAATTCTAAAGTTTTTATGATATGATAATAGAAAGTTGTAGACTTTTTTTAGTACATGTAAGATGTAATTAACCACTCGTATGTAATAAGTATGTAGGCAAATGCTCATGAGATAAATTTGTCTGCAGTTGGTCATTTTAAAGTTTGATGTCTTCAACGTGTGAGATAGTGGGGATTGGGGAACATGGCCATTTGCATGGACAAAGCGGTCAACTATTAATCACGACATATTTAGGACGGTGTAATTTTTTATTGATTTTTTAAGAAAAAAGTATTGTATGAGTTCGGACTCACGCATAAGAAGGATATAAGTTACTAGATCATTCATATAATTAAGGTAACGCAAGATGAATATAAGTTATTAGATCATTCATATAATTAAGGTAACACAGGATACTTGGGAAGGATTGTTGATACTCCCTCCGTCTCAATATATAGTTGTTTATGTTTTTCGGTATTTAAGAAATGGGAGGAGAACCTGTTCTTTTGAGCTGCTCTGTCCTGCTTTGCTATGCTCTACCCTGCTTTGCTCTGCTCTGTTGAAATCTGCTTTGTTCTGCTTTGCTTTGCTCTGCGCTGCGCTGCCCTACCCTGCTCTGCTCTACTCTGCAGTGTGTGGAAGCCCTACCCTACTCTGCTCTGTTCTGCTGAAATATGCTCTACTTTGCTAATTCCTGCGCTGCTGTGCCCAAAAGTTCAAAAGAACATGGCCGAAGTACATAAAAAAAAAAGGTAAAAAGTAAAATTATAGACAAAAGTTTGAGGGAGAAAGTGAATGAAGTACATAAAAAAAAGGATAATTTGTAAATTACCACCCACAAAATAGACCAATTTTGATATAACCACCCAAAAAATATTTTATTTTAAATTACCACTCATTAAATTAAAAAACGCGCAGATTACCACCCATTTAGAATTTCCGGTGGAATTTCCGTCAGTGGGCCCCACTTTTTTTATATTTTTCCTTTTTTTCTTCTATTTTCTGGCTTTCTCACTCTCTTTTTCCCAATTTTTTCACTCTTCTTCTTCCTACCTTCTTCCCAACCACCACCACCACCATTGCTCCACCTTTCCCCTCCTTTTCCCCCGTCGCGCCTGCCAACAACAACCTGCAACAACATCAACATACAGCCACCATAATTACCACCCGTTCGCCTACTGCAAACAGCAATTCGGCAACCTCTGCAGCCCGCAATCACCAATTGGCCTACTGCAAACAGCAATTCGACAGCCAATTACTACAATTCCGGGATTTAATTGCAGCAATTTGGCAAAGAACATCTTCAATCTTGAACCCCAATTGAAACCCAGATGGTCCGACCACCGCCTTCAACTTCACTGCCCTCCACACACATCTCACCGCCCTCAACAAACCCCACCGAAAGAATAAGGGTCGATTTAGGGTTCATGCTTCAATTGAATTGGGGGTTTTCTTAAATTAGGGTTCCTATTTTAAGAAAACCCCCAATTCAATTGAAGAAAACCCCCAATTCAAATTTTCTATTTGTTGGTTATTGTTTCTCTTCCAAATTATCCCCAATCCCCTTTCTTGTTCCTTGTTTGGATGAATTTATACCCGACAAGAGATTAATTTTTCTGGGTAACTTGAATTTTTGATTGATTGATTAATCATGGCATCTTTTCGGTGGCGAACGGAAGGGAAGGAGAACAATTATGGGGGGCTGGCGAATGGGTTAAGCGGTTTTCGGTGATGGTGTTGTGGTTAACGGTTGCCAGAGGTGGTGTGAAAGGTGGAGCAATGGTGATGGTGGTGGTTGGGAAGAAGAAAGAAAGAAGGTAGGAGAAGAAGAGTGAAAAAATCGGGGAGAGAGAGTGAGAAACCTAGAAAATAGAAGAAAAAAAAGGAAAAAAAAAATTAAAAAAAGTGGGGCCCACTGACGGAAATTCCACCGGAAATTCTAAATAGGTGGTAATCTGCGCGTTTTTTTAATTTAATGGGTGGTAATTTAAAATAAAATATTTTTTGGATGGTTATATCAAAATTGGTCTATTTTTTGGGTGGTAATTTACAAATTATCCTAAAAAAAAAAAAGGGTGAAAAGTACAATTATAGACAAAAGTTTGAGAGAGAAAGTGAAAAATTATACAAAGCATGTGGAAAATTCAAGGGTAATTTAAGAAATACAATAAATAAAGTTAAAAAAATGAGGGTATAATGGTCTTTACATACTATCCAAAAGTAGAAACAAGAACAATATTTTGGATCTCCAAAATAGAAAAACTGGAACTATAATATAAGACGGAGGGAGTAGTAAAAAGGGGAGATGGGACTAAAAAACAAAAAACATGTGAAATGTGAGTGTTATTGAATAAAGAAATCCATACTTTTTGAACTATTGTGAAATAGTGTACTACATAATTATAGGCCCTTAATTATGGTGTTTTTGTAATAGTTAATCTTATAACAACTAATTTCAGATTAGCTTGCTCCAACTACTCAACTAGGTACAAAAAGGTGAGTTTAAATTGCAACTATATTCGATTTTTTATAATGATTTATATTAGAAAAGAAATATAAATAAAAAAAAAAAAAAAAAAAAAACAGACAAAGCTGAATAATATGACAACATGATAACCTTGTATATAACGCGTTAATTAGTTCAAACCAATTATCTCCTCCCTTCACTTCCAAAAATAAGATTTGATTTCAAAACCTAAGATAACTTCAATAATACTACAATAAAATTCAACACTACTCGTATAGTCGTATTACATATTGAATGAGCCAAAACAACAATCTTCATATATAAGCTTGTCTGTAAGTACAATTTTTCGAATAAGTTAATGTAATAATTACAAGGAATAATAGGAAAAATATGGCAACTATAATAGGAATAATAGGACAAGGGCATGTTATAGGTCTTATATGGTGCGAAATATCCTCTGAACAAGGGCGGAGGCTTGAAGAGAGCTTAATTATGTCACATGAAGAAATAGTAAGACAATGACTAATTACCTACTAATACCAAGAATTTTCTAAGACCCTATTGATTGACTAAAGCTTGAATTGATTTTGTAATCTTCCTACCAAATCTAAACCTTACCCAATATTTAACTGCCCTAAGTTATTTATGATCTTAATGATATTTTTCACGTGTAGTTAGAAATTAAGATTGTCACATTGGCGATCTATCAATAATATAATAACAATATGATTATGACTAACATATGAAAATCGGAATGAATTTAAGTGTTAATAGTTGATATATACGATGTATAAGCCTAATCATATTGGTTGCATCTCATAAAAGATTGTTGTGTAATAATTTACTCTTTTTGTCTCATAAAGTTACTTTATTATTTGACTTTTCACATTCTCTAAGAGTCTAAGATGTATCCATTCTAAATCATAAGGAGTAAATATTTTCGTTTTCGTAAAAAAAAATTGACAATCAATAATATACATCAAAACGGATCAACAAGGAGATGACTGCTATTTCTTATATACTCCATATCAATAAATAAAAAATTAAAAAATAAAAAACTATGTATGTAATTCATAAAATTTGACCTATGGAATGGAAGAAATTTTAAGAGATAATGGAAATATTAGCTATCATGATGATGAAAGACTTTATATATACAATTAACGGGCTTGATTAATGGGCCATACTTCAATTAACCTCACTTCATGGGCCTATAACGAGGAAGAAGGTGTACAACAAATAGTAACACTCGAGCATATAATAGACATGTTCCATAGGCCATAGTAAGAGAAGTTGGTTTGTCCATGGATAAACAATACAAGAATTAACAAAAGACAGATGAAGTAGCAAAAATGCAAAATAAGAACAAAGACAACACCCTTTATCTATCAAACTCATCATAAATTGCCAAATTTGCCAACTCAACTTCAATTATTAGCAATAATAATAGAGGGAAAATTGATCATCAAAATCAACATATTTCAAAAAATTCATTAAGCAGGGATAAAATCCCCGCTTCTAAAATGCTAGCCATTCATCCAGACTAAAAGCCAATGATCAAATCTTCTTTCTACATTGAAGCATCCAAAGAATAACACGGTATACATGTATCAATATACCTCTACATGCCACTGCTGGTTCTTCTTCAGCTGAGAAAGCTTTTCGTCCCAGCTCTCCCCCCTCTCTTCTGCAACTCTCTTTATGGTATCTTGGATTCCGGGCATCATCCCTTTCAGCCCACAGAAATATATATGAGCACCATTGTCAAGTAACTTAAAGATTTCATCACTGTATTCTTCAATCTTATCCTGAACATACATCTTTCCACCCTTCTTGTTTTTATGTTCTCGGCTAAGAGCTGTGTCATACCGGAAATTATCTGGGTGATCTTTTAGATATTTGGTAAATTCATCGTCATATAGAAGACTGTCGGTGTTGGCCACCCCAAGGAAAAGCCAAGCTAGGCCTTTGAACTTGTATGTGGGGACATCCTCCATGAACATGCGACGAAGGTAGCCTCTGTAAGGAGCCACACCAGTTCCTGTAGCAATCATTATGTGGGTGGCATTTGGATCCTCAGGTAAAAGCATAACCTTGCCCGAAGGACCTGCAAAAATAGCATGGGTGACATTAATAGCAGAAACAATTATACCAATGAGTGGTCTTATTATAAAAATCCCACCTTTCCAATAGTAGGAGCATTAGTAGGTTGGAAACTATCATTTCAACGGTTAGCTGATTACTGGCATATGTTAACAAGTACTGTAAGCTTGAATGACAAAAACTGCCTCAAACCAAGAATAGACCTGAAAACTTGGCTTTCAAATACAATTTTTATGACCTGAATTGGACATTTGGGCAATGAATTGTGAAAATGGTTCTAGACCTGAAGCTTAATTGACAGAACTCAGCCTATTAAAGGTAAAAATATCTTGCACCAAACAAGATTAGAGAATTTTGATCCAAATCCGAGACAATGAAAAAAAACCAGGAGCACCCTGAACAGCATGAAACTAGAGGTTGCAAACAGACATGAGAACTCCTTTAGGACATATACAGGTATTTACATCATTTACCCAAGAACGCTGCTTTGGTAGGAAAGTGAAATATTCTGAGAATTATGCTCCCTTCTAGAATTGTAAAAATAACACAAGTATAAGTTTTTCTGAGACCGTTCAACAGATATTGATTCTTACTCGCACAATAAAAGGCAAGAGTATGCAATAAGTTGACACCTTCTGACAGCATCTATAGACACTACTGTAAAAACAACACGGCAACAAATCAACAGGCTAAGTTTACACCTTCCACAAAATTAGATGCAACTTACCAGCTATCTGGACCTTGTCTCCGGGCTTGGAATCACAAAGGAAATTGCTGCATACGCCCATCTTAGAAGGGTCCTCTTTACCTGTCTCGGGATCATAATAGACTGCTCGACGAACACATAAAGTTGCAGTCTTTCCATCAAAATGGTCTCCATACCTCGTAGAAGCAATGGAATAGAGTCGCACATTATGAGGTTTTCCAGGTTTCTTGGGGTTCTCACCCTGTTCAATGAATTAGGACTTCAGTTAGCTCATGTTCTCAAACCATAGAGGTGATCAAATGATTAGAAATGACCAATTAATAGAAAAAAGTTTTAAATCACACAGGCTTGAGGCTACAAGTTTGATTAACAAGACAACCTCTAGAGAGCATTTACAAGACTACTACAACAAACCTATACAATTCCCACCATCAGCAGGGCTAAGTTTCTCAGGTTCAAATCTGTGAATAACCACCTATCCGTCTATCCCACATTCCCACCCCATACATCCCCAACCCAAAAAAATAAACAAAAAAACTGTTCACATGTCCAATGAATCAAACATAGATAAGTGAGCAAGAATGAGCAGCAGGAAATGGAATGGCATACCGGGGGAATAACACCATAGCTCTGCCCTTCCCAGTAGGGAACATTGCCACCATGATCGATCACAATGTGGCATGTTTCCCCAGGAGCCTTAGGACCAACAACCCTCTCAACAGAAACAATGGTTCCTGTATAGGGCTCCTTGGCCTTGTACACATGCATAGGAGGTTCTTTAACATCTTCAAGTGCTAGAGGTGAAACCGCAACTTTAGGTGTGGCAGTTTGTTGTACAGACATGCATACCACTGACTGTTTTCTCAGTCTTAAGTTGTTTGACTTCAGGTCCAATGCATAGCCAGGAGCCCATGATTTACTGCCAAAGCTTACACTGTATGTCTGCATAAATGACAATATGTAAGAGCTTGTGAGCTTATGACATTAAAAAGCAGTAACTTGGCAACTGAAATGAAAAGAAATAAGCTTGTAGCATGTAACACCATTTACTAGTCATAAGTGGTACAGGAACAAGAAGGAAGCAAACACAATAAAGAGAATTTGCCCATATGATTATCATCTACATTGTGCTATATCGTTAGCATACCAACACATCAATTCACTATACCCCCACTCATTCGTGACTCTCACCAAAGCAAACTTCATCCTCAAAGTACATTGACAACATCTTATGCCATTAGTTTCAGCTATCTTATGCATGATTAACAGTACATTGCTATGAAAACAACAGAGAACGACACAAAGTGAAAGACAAAATGAATACGACCACAAAAGAGAAAACTGATCATTAAATGTCAATCTAAACCTTGAGAAACGTTTGGGAAACAAAAAGGCTAATCCACAGTTATAACAACCAAAATACTAAAATGCATCCAAATCATGCTAGTTATAGGCCTTAGTTGCAAAATTCAATACACACATTCAACCATTTACCCCAAATATGTGTAGCATAAGGTGAAACAGACGGCATGTATCACAGATTAGTCATTTAGTCACATGTAGCATACTTCGTGCAAGATAAATCCTAGCACAACTACAGAGTGTAATACTCCCTCTGTCCGGATTTAGTTGTTACGAGTACATTAATAATTCAAATTACACTAATAATGTGACTATCAATTTTGAAGGAAGGGATTAAACAGATAAATATTCTCACAATTCAACAACATTTCATGCAGCAGAAAATCAAATAAGCTTAAATAAACTCCACAAGATCAATGACAAAATACACAAAACACAATATAAGCAAAGCCATTAAACCAACAATCAATATATTGAGTAATTAAATTAAATAATAAGCTGATAAAGTACCTTAAAAGTAGATCCTTTCACAGATGATTCATTTGTCACTGGGACAGCAACAGAAACCTAAAAACAACATAAATTATACACAACAAAGATTAATACAAGCTAATCGGATCTTAATCAAGCAAATTAACAACATTTTTTTGGCTAAGTAAAAACACCCATCGCCAAATTTATTTCAAACCAACTAAAATTCCCATTACATGTCAACATTTATACATCAAAGTACAAGAAAATTGCAATTGAAAAGGAAAGTCCAGAAACATACAAAAGAAAAGGGATTTGACTTTTGTAGGGACCAAAAAAAAATCAAAATAAATAAGCAAAACAGCTGAAATTTGATCTTAATAATTACAAAGATGACATTATTTTGCCAACTTAAAACAAACCCATCACTAAAAACTGATTCAAAAAACACCCCATCAAAAAAAAAAAATTTGAATTTTTGAAAACCCCACCAAAAGTATCATGCATTTCAGCACAAATAAATTAAAATTAGGGGATTACAATGAATTAGAAGAAAATTAGAGAAAAGGGTTTAATGTGACTGACCTTGGCAATGGCGGAATGAGCCATGATTGAGCAGAAGAATGTTAGGAGAGAGAAAATGAGATGATCGAAGGTAAGAGTGTAAGAGAGAGAAGAAGAAAGGAGGTTTTAAAGGTGAAAGTGACTGAACCTTTGGCAATTGCAAGGGACAGTTTGGCTGGCGGCAGCAGATTCGCATGAGTCTAAATCACTGTGAAAGTGTACATTTAAATATTGGGAAAATGTTAGATTACAAGATTAGTGACTAAATCTGGTGATTAATGGACTAATTAGGCAACTAGCAAGCTTAAGGCAGTCTGCAAAGGCCAACCAAAGGTGCCGTCTTATGTTTTGCTTTCTATTTTCATGGTTCATTCCCCCTTTAACCCATGCCCCATGAATTGTACTTCGTATTATTGTGATTAATCAATTGTAATTTCTATTGTACAATCGGTGTGTTATGATGTTACTGGTTCTAAGTAGTGTATTGAAAACATCATTGTCATCTTTGTGGTCGTCTTATACATTGTGGTTAATGTTGAAAGTGTGAATTTTTTATTTTAATGACGTTCGATAGTCTCAAGAAGTTAGTGCTTTTGCTAATTTGCCAAAACTGGTCACTTGGGGGTATGGTGTTGAGAAAATGAAAGGGAAACTCAGGTTATATACGTAGTAGCTTTTAAAAGTAAAGTAGTTATTGGTCTAGACAATACTTAAGTCGTTGCATGTAAAATGGAACTAAAAATTCTTTTTTGAATATAATGGTATTATAAAACAAATTTTATTGCCTACTATGTATATATTATTGGTTGAATTCTATACATTATCCCTTAGAGGTTTAGATACATTCGAATTAATATAATAGGTTGGCGTGATAAAGCAAGCAATAAATTTGCAATGCTTAATTGGTAAAGACTTTGCATATAATGTGAGGGGTTGTGGGTTTGAAACCTTGACTTTATATAGAATTTTGACCTTTTTTGAGAAACTATTAAAACTTATTTTTGTCGTAAATCAAACTTTGATAATCTTTATTAAGGTTTATCATAACTTAGTTTGCCTTAGTTGAACTTATTAACTCTCTAGTTAGAGGAAAAAAAAAATTAACTTTGACAAAAAAGAAAATCTGATAAATAATATGAGGCCTTAAGACAAAATCATTGTCTAGAGTGATTTATAAATTATAATTTTGTGCGATCATTGGTTACATTACCTTTTTTTTCTGTTTTTTTTTTTTTTTTTTTTTTGTTTAAAAGGAAAGGTCAAAGAAGTTAGGAAAGTCTTCTCTCAAAACTAACCCCTAAGCCTCTAACTTATCAGAATTATTTAAAAAAAAAAAAAAAGATCTACATCATGATGGGTTTGCACGAAATGACCTAAGGAAGCAACATAATCTGCTGCTCGATTGCCCTCTCTATAAATGTGCTTGGAGTCCAGGCAGAGCAAATGACAAAGAAGCTCATTAACGCACGTCTTCCATCAAAATTGAATCTTCCTGGGACACTGAGCTTTACCTTGCAAAATATGAATAATAAGCAAGTTATCACCTACATTTAAAATATAAGAAAATTTATGGGCACGAGCCAAAAGGAGCCCATTTTGAAGAGCCATAGCTTCAGCAATTAGCTAGGAAAGTAATCATTCCTAAATTAAACGTGTGGCTACGGCTAGATATTGTTGACAAATTGATCTCTGATAATTTTTTATTTTTTATTTTTTCATTTTTTTTATTACTTCTGATAAGTTAGGGGTTAGTCTTAAGAGAAGACTTTCCTAACTTCTGTGTACCTTTCCTTTTTTTAAAAAAAATAATGATACCTGTAGCACTTGACCTATCTCACACTAAACCATCAAAATTAACATTAACGAGGGGACCAAGCTACATGAATGACATCAACAGGAGGAGGGGCCAAAATAGGAGTAAGGTCTCAAGAGAGTCTAAATGGATCCTAATAGTCCATTTAAATTTACTTATATTAGCTATATACCTACAAGTATGCTTGTATGAACGTAATGTATAAGGAGTAGTCGTCTTATCGGACTATATCCTCTCATGGTGTCAAAAGTCAATTAGTCTTCCTCCTCCCTCCTCCCTCCCCCCCCCCCCCCTTCCCCCAAAAAAATGTACCTAGTACTCGTATCATCTAACTTATACTTCCTTTGTCCCTTTATTTTTGCCCCATTGTCATTTTTTGGGCAAACTTAGAAAATTTTGACCATATATTATCATTAATTTATAAGAGATAATATAGTCATATGAAATTTTGTTAGTTTTGTCTCATCATACATTTTATTAATATCACATTTTTATAATTTTTACGTGTATGAAATAATAATATAGACGTTTTGAGACGTGTCTTCAATGCCATAAAAAGTCAAATAGGGACAGAGAAAGTACTCCGTAATATTTATTGAAGAACATGTCAATTTTTCATTATGCAATTTGGAACAATAATTTATAAGGTGACTTCACATTGTGAGATATTTCGAGTATTGGGCCTGACAATAATTACGTAGTATAATAGCTTCAGAAGGCTAAACTAAAAACTAATCAAAGACACAGCTGGCCCACTTCCTATGACATTTTCGATGATCCAGGCCTAAGGACCATATTGGTGCCCTTATTCTATTTTGTTGACAAATCAAATGAAACAAATATCATAGACCAATAGTTTTTTTTTTTTTTTTTTTTTTTTTTTTTAACATTGCATATGAAATTAACAATTATAGTATTTCATGTTTTCTATAAGTTAAAGTAGGGGAAAAAAAATTAAGCGACTTTTTTTTACCACAAATTGAAATGGGGAAGTCATACAATTATCTCCATTGAATTATTTAGTAACATGATGAAGCCTTGTTGCAATAGATCATAAGAGGACATTTTGTACAGTTATAATCTTCCCAATCAGACGGAAAATTGAAAATGAAATAAATCATGTTCTTAAATTCGTTTCATTGTGTTTTTGTTTTTGTTTTTTTGTTTTTTTTTTTTCCAATTTCTATGACAACAAATGGTGAAATGGGTAGAACAAATAAATAAATAAACAAATGGAGTACTTCATTGTACTTTTGTACTTTTTAAAAACAAATTCAACAATAAGATTTCTACATGAAACACAGCATTGTACTTTGATTATTAACTTAATGATTATTATATTAAAAAAAATAACAAAAAATTATCAAAATTTAACCATAAAAAAAGAAAAAAAAAAATAAGAAATCAAATTTCGACATAGATGTTTAAAATCAAGTAATCAACCGATAAATATATCTCAGTTGTACAACATAGTCAACACAATTTCTTATATGGACTCAGTTCACATTAATATATTGTGGACCACTAACATTAGAGACACTATGATTGTTTTATTAATTAAAAAAAAGGTCACTATATTAAAATAAAGGTTATTATGTTGAATTAAAAGTCATTGTGACATTATAAAAGCTATAAGAGGTTGATTTTTTTTAATGAAATTTTTAATAACATTAAAGGTCATACAAGTTTTAATAAAGGTTATTATGTTAAAAATAAGGTTACTCTGTTAAAACTACGATTACTATGTTCAATATAACGTCAGTTCCGCGTGTATATAAACCTCAGGTCCACAATAATTTAGCATTAGCAAAAAAGTCCTACAATTTCGGCGCCTTATTGTTGTTGTCTGTGGTCTAGTACAAGAAAGGGTGGCACACTTGTATTAGCCTATATTAGGAGCTAACTTAGCATTTTATCAAACTTCAATTAATCAAATAATGCTACTTCTTTTTTATATTGTTTTTATTTATAGTCTCGAGATTAGATCTGATCTCCCATATTGGAATAGCAAAATTCCCAAATAATTTCACTTTCAAGTAGCTCCTGAATTCAAAGCTATAACTAACGTACCTATAGTAATTAGCATCATTTGGCAAACTAATACTCCAAGTCTCCAACACATGTCAAAATAGAAGAAATCGTGTATATATATATATATATATATATATATATATATATATATATATATATATATATATATATATATATATATAACGGCTTATTAAATATGTCTTAATTAAAGTTATTTTGTTTAGAACACTGTTCCTTTTCTTCTGTTAATTATTCTGAAACTTTTCATCATTAATACAACCTTATGGTATAATTTACAAGAGTAGTAACTCTGAAAATAGTATTACTCTGTAGTAAACATCTAACATATATACTTTCATTGTATCGCATCCAACATAAATTGCATCCAAATTTATGTCTATTTTTTCTTTGTGATGATTCATTATGTTACGTTTTGCCATTTTTTCAACCCTAGACATGCTAATTAATTTTAACCATAAATGAAATTTTGGATCAATTTCAAGTTTTCCTTAATCTTCTCTGAATATATATCTCTTTTATTCTTCCTATTGTCAAAGTTGGTAGAGAGAAGGTGGCTTTCAGTTAAGGAAGTGATGTACATGAGAATGTTACAATTATTAACTCCTTAGAATTGATATGTCAAGTAGCATATTAATTTCATCTTCTTGGAAGTGAGATTGAGGGAACTATTTATTTTGACATCAAAACAAATAATCACTCGTTGTTGACTTATTTATCAATCAATCAATCAAAACCTTAATCCCATAAGTAGGGTCGCTACATGAATCAAAATTGATTATTCCGTGTAGTCATCCACAAAGATCTTCCTCCTCCATCCCTTACGATCCAATGCTTCATCCTCGTACAAATCCATATACTTCATATCCTTCCTAACTCCTTCCAACCAAGTCATTTTCATCAAGATTACATCAGTCTTAATTGATTGTCACAAGTTAAATACTACCTCCATTTCATATTATTTGCAACGACTAGACATTTTTTGCTCGCGCTTTATATAAAATCGTTGCAAATAATATAAAATGGAGGTAGTACCATACATCCAAAGACTACTTGAAAAATAAATCCAAAGAGTGTAGATGAAATTTGAGACCTAAACTCATAATGGAAGTTTAAGTACCTAGATGAATTTAGACCATTTTGCATCAGGAATGATCTAAAAGTAAATGATTAAGCTTGAGTTTTTTGAGATGGGTCTGGACCATATTCATTGACGAGACAAGTTTCCAACTTTTAGTCTCATCTTTTTCAACGTGGGACAACTTATAATGTGCATTTTCACATGGATATATAACTATAATATATCGATAAAAGT